TTCTCTTCTTCTACAGTAGAAGAGTCACAGAAGAGTAGAAATAACATTTGAAATAAAGGCTGGTTAACCTAAGAGAGAGGGCCTTTTCTGCAGTGGCCCCACTTGTCTGGAAGGGTTTGCTTAAAGCAGGGCTGTCAAACTCAAGACCCATGGACTGGATCCAGCCCACAGGATGCTAAGATCTGGCCTGAGGGGCTACCCGGGAAACAGCAAAGAACTGGCCAGTGGGGCATCTGCCAGTGAAAATGGAGTCTCAGCCCTCCTGAGCTCCATTTTCACTGGCAGATGGTTGCAGGAGGCTGTCCCAGCCAAAAATGAAGCTCGGGAGCCATTTTCTCTGGCAGAGCACTTGGGCCACCACAGGCGCCCCCAACACGAGTGACATCAATGGCCACATACACCCCTGCCAGAGGTGGGTTCCTACTGGTTTGGACCGGTTCGACCGAACCAGTAGTAACTTCACTGCCTGGGTCGCTGGAACCGGCAATGACCCATGCCTACCATGCCCCCGAACTCATTCTCCTATGGGGCCGCCATCTTGTTTTTCGGTTCTGCGCATGCACAGAACAATTTTCAGTGGAAAATTTTTTTTTTTTTAGGGTTTTAGTGTACAAAATGATGTGCAAAATTTTTCAGGCACCGAACCGGAAGCAATGCCGGCAGCAACCCCACCTGACCCCCACCCCCACCCCCCCGGAGATCACACACAACCCTGATGTGGCCCTCAATGAAATCGAGTTTGACACCCCTGGCTTAAAGGTTACTCATGGGAAGGATTCAATGAAGTCCAATCTATGTTAAAAGTGATAGCAGCTCTCAATTTATCTGTGGGCAAGAAACCCTTTACATTCTCGTCCCAGAATAAATCAATCATCTGAGGAAGTTGCAGAGAGATGCTATGGGTTGATTTGGCAGTGATTCTAATTGACCCCTCTCCGTTGCCATCCCAAACTGACCCCAATCCTTCCATGGCGGGAAGAAATATTCCCAGGGCCAAAATGATCACAAGAGACCTAGCTATCCTAGTTACCTTTACTTTTCCAGTTTTGGTCTGTGGCATATCCAAGATGGCCAGCACATTTCCTGTTGAATTCTGCCACCAGCGATTTGTACGGGTTGCGTATCAGTAAAATGGCCGCATCAAACATTTCAATTTCCTTTCTGCCACTCTCATGTGTTTTGACACAGAGAGTTCTTCTGCTTCTCCAGTGGTCCTTTTCTCCTTTGAAACCTGGGCAGGATGTAAAGACTGGGGTTACTATTTTCAGAGTCTTAAAAAGTCTTGGATATGTTATGTGAGAAAATAGCTTCTTCTCTATAATTCCTCCCCATTTAATGAAATCATCTGAAGAAATTCACCTATAAATGACATCACTGACATCAGGTGATGACCCAGATCAAATACTTTCTGTAGTTATCCGAGTTTCCATTCACAGAGCAAAGTGAAGTTCTTGTTGACATTAAAAATAACCATAAAAAGCTTGGTTATTAAAAATGGTGGGTGTTTAATTGTCTATGATTTAAATTAATTTTCATTCTGAATTTATTTATTTACTAGCTGGATACCCGTGTTTCGCGATGAAACTATATGATTTGGCTATTCAGGAGAAATTCAGTTCGCAATCTGTTGGCTCAGTGATGGTTGGTGATTGAAACACATAAGGGAATATTGCTCCCATCAACTTGAGTCTGGAAGCAGTTCTATAGGTGAAATGGGTAGACATTTTCATGAGGTGCCAATGTTTAGTACTGTAAGGAGCCCCAGGCCGCTCCTTAGTGAAGGAGTGGAACATCTGCCAGTTTGAACTGAGGTAATGGAATGTGAGACAACTGGCAGTTGGAACAGAGTTCTTTTCAGGAGGGGAGGGGGAGTAGAATGTCTAACTCCTTAGCATTAGAGCATGTTAATATGAGGCAACTGTCAGTTTGTACAGAGTTTTTTTCAGGTGGGGAGGGGGAGTAGAACTCCTTAGCATCAGAGGGTATTAATTACTGTATAAGAAATACTAATGATCTGATGGTCATTTCAAAAAATCCTTTCTTAGTGAGCACCTAGAGCCAAGAGGAATATACATGCCAAATTACAAGTTTGTAGGCTTTACGGTTCTGGAGATTTTGTGCTGAGTGAGTGGTTCTCAGCTTTTATATATATATAGTTTAAATGTATTTGCTGCCTATCGTGTGGCTAGGCTACAGCATAAAAATATTTAAATCACCAAAAATAAATATTCCTGATACAATAAAATGAAAACATCATCAAAGTCAAATCAGAGTTACAAGTTGGGAATGTCAGCATTCTGAGTAATGCATCGATTGAAAGCAGAACTCCAAGGTAGGTATATTCCTCAAAGAACATATTTATTTGACACATCATATAAGATATTCCAAAGGGCAGGAGCCATGGCAGAGAAGACTCCCTTCTTGGATCCCACCAGCCAAAATTCCTTGGCTGATGAAATTTGCAGTATAGCCCCTCTGTCAGCGTGAGTAGGGCAAGCCAATCCCATCAGGGTGAGTCAGTTCCTCATATAACTTGCAGCCATGCCATGCAGGGCTTTAAAGGTAATAACCAACACCTTGAATTTGCACCCGGAATTGATATTTAAATATCTTCAGAGATTCTAATGATATGCTTGCATAGTATAATTGGTGAGCATTATTTAGCAATGTAAGCATGTGATGGCAAATGAGGAACTGAATAAATGTAGGCCTCCAAAATTGGAGCTAAAGAGAAGGGTGGTCACATTGAGAATATACAATCTTGGGTTTGATCGAAAGAGGGTTTGAAAGAGGCTTTTCAGAATGAGCAGAGCACAAGGATACATCTATTCAAACTGGAAACCTCACTAATTAGGCAATTCATAAAAGCAACCATATCTTTATGTTATTATTTTATTTTATTCATTTATTATTTTATTTTAATTTATTTTATTATCATTTTAATTTATTTTATTTATTTTATATTTATTTATTATTTTATTTATTTTATTTATTTTATTTATTTATTTTATTTTATTTGTTTTATTTGTTTTATTTGTTTTGTTTTATTTATTTATTTAGCCAAGGTGGCGCAGTGGTTAAATGCAGCACTGCAGGCTACTGCTAGATCAGCAG